GGGGAGAGAATACTTATTTTTAGGGTGGATAGAAAATAAAATGCAAATGTGTATCCTGAGTATCTAATACAGAGACTAATATTTATTATATATACAGTAAAATAGCAGTGCCTTTGTAATTGCTCAAAATAAAAGTACATACCATATTTGAACTCTAAAATTCATTTTAAATCATGAGGGGAGGGTATAGCTCAGTGGTAGAGTGCATGCGTGGCATGCACGTGGTCCTGGATTTAAGCCCCAGTATTGCCATTAAATAAATAAATAAATCTAATCACCCCCTCAAAAGTTAAAAATCAATGTATGTAACCTGATTTATATTTCAAATGAAAACATTATTTTGTCTCATAAAATTAACACACGCATATTAAAAAATTTTCACAGAATTCAGAAGTGAGTGAGTTGCAAGAGAAATTCCCTTCATATTATTCTCAAGATGATACCACAATTAACTATTTGCTATAAATGCTGTCAGATATTTTTATGAGTATATTTTCTGCTGAAAAGGAAGCCTCATTATAGATATGTATTATTCTGTAACTGTTTTTCATTTAATTTGTGATAAAACTTTTCCTAGTTACTTAGCCATCTTTAATAACAATTGGGTATTTGTTTTTACAACATAATTCATGAAGAATTTTTGTCTTTTTTTGTAACCAGCACAAGAATTCTAGGAGAGAGAAGGGTTCCTCTGCTAAGAAAATGCCATGATAACCCCACGGCAAGATGGACGGTGGCATCCTGGGTGTTAGGCTGGCAACCCGAAGTCCAAAGGGAAGGGACATCTCCCCTCCCTGAGGAGGGAGGAGAATACGGATGTACCTGAGGGGTGAAGAGTGAAAAAGGCCAGAAGCACAGAGGAAGGAGCTAGCAGAGCTCAGGTAGGGGTGTGTGTGTGTGTGTGCACGTCTGTGTGTGTTTTGGGAGGGGTGTAGTGCACAGAGAAGACCTGCCCTCCACTGTGGAAGTGGGACAGAGAAGAAAGAGACACGTCTAATGGAATTTTTCAATGAGCCATAGGCTATGTGAGGTAAAAGTAAAAACAGCATGATGAGCTTTATATGATTAATTTGTTATGGAAACTGGAAAAGGGATCTGTGAGGGGTGGGAAAAAAATGATGGCCACATATATGTGTGTGGAGTGGAGAAGGGAGCTGATATCTGGATCACCAGTTAACACAGTATGACTTATTTAAATGGTGTCAAATAGATGACAGAGCAGTTTTTAAAAAGACATTAAGGGGGATACTTAAACATATATTTTTGCAATTCTCCCATTGATTCATTAGATTTATATTTTAATTTGAATATTTTAGCTAACTGATAAGTTATATGTCAAGTTATATTCCTTTCCTACTACTCAAGAATTTCTAAAGATGTTCAACCTCTTCCTTCCTATAAGAATTCCATTCTAAGTAAAAAGTCCATTTTTTGTTTCCCAAATACATCAGGAAATATTTATCTTTGAATTTCTTACTCATATTTAACCATACACTTATAAATCTAAATTTTATGAATTTCTATGAAATCTGGATTTAAATTCTACTCTTTCTTAAAACTTGAGTTTAAGATTTACTATTTCCATAAGTTAGTTACCCAAAAAGGAAATGGGAAAAAAAATGATTCCTGTCTTACCCAAAAGATAAGATTTACACATGGGAGATGGAAAGCACTGTGTAGCAAAAAGATTTTAAAAGATTTATTTAGGGGAAAAAAAAAGTATACCTCCAAGAGTGGGAAATGGGCTGATTCAAGGAGAAATCATGGTGGGTTTTGTCTCCCCTTTCTCTTATACCTTCACTTAGAGGTGGTCTCTTGATTGATTGACAGCTTTTGTCCCTGGAGTACTTAGTCATGTTGGCCCCCTGCACATGTCCTTATGCATGGTGTACAAAGAAAAATCCATGGTGGGGGTGGCTAAACTTCAATGTTAATTATATAGTACAATGAACACTGGGTCATGTCGGGTTAAGTACTTTTTGCTACCATGCAGTCATGGCTGTTGGGTTTTAAACAGTTTCTTGCTGGCACTCATTTAGAAGAATTAAAGTCCCTTCATGCTGGAGGCAGGCATAACACCATCTTCTGGATATCCTTCCTCTCCTTCACCTATCTGCCCAGTGCCCCCACTTATCTAACTACCTAACAAGTCCATAATGACTTCCTTCTCAAATTTTTTATCACTTATCACTTGCTACCCCTTGATTTGGGATGCTTGTCGTATTCTATACATTTCCATCTGTAACTGGACCATGAAGTTAGAAATGTCATCTTGTCTACCGGATTTATTGTGGTAATCCTTCAGTGAAGTGCTACCATAAACATTTATTTTAAAATGCTCATATTTTGAATTTTATATTTAATACTTTCATATTTAAAGAATTTCAAAAAGAAACCATATCGTCAGATTGCTGAAGCATTATGATTGCCCTCAGAGGAAAATTTCTGAGTTGAGTAATAGTTTGTATTTTGTTCTACAAAATTCCTGTTATGAATTAAGGTTCTGAAAATAATAATTAAGAGACAGTTAATAATAACTGTATATTTAGTGCTTGCTATGTGCCAGAGACAATTCTTAAATCTTTATATAATTATTATATTTAATCTTTATAACAATCAGTGAGATAAGTATTAATTACCCTTTACTGAAATTTACTGTTGGCTACACTAAGGACTAAAATATTGTAAATAATATACCTAAAAACATACAGATAGTAAGTAGTAAAGTTGTGAATTAAATTCAAGAATGCTTGACTCTAGTTTTAAAACACCACTACAGATTCCAACTAAAACTTAAATTGAACTACACTTCTTAAAGATCTTGTGTTGACTCTTTCTTCAAATAATGTTTTAGATTAATTTGTCCTAATAAAATAAGAGGCTGAAGTTAGCTTTGCTCTCTGAATTAATTTAATAAAGCAATAGCCTCTTGAAAATCCTCTAAGATTTTAAATAAACTCTAGGTCAAAGGCAGACAAATTAGCATAACATTCATATTAATGTCTCTCAATGTGTGTTACTCAAGAAGCCAATGCTTTGGAATCTATGCAATGCTAGATATATTATTTTCAAAGGGGCTTTGGTTACTCATTATGGTGATGGATGACTGTGATGAAAATATCAACATATGTTCAAGGTTTTCCTTCAATGTTTCTCCCATAAGTATAACATAGTGATACAGAATGAAGATTATTTAATGACACAAGCGATGGGATTATTTGCAGTGGGTGAAAGTAAATTTGATTTTCAAATCATAAAGGATGACATTCCTCATGATATTACCTACTGATTTTATTTTACCTTGCCATTGTTAGAATTAAGAAATGCCTGCACAGACAACAACCAGTTCAATAGTTTTCAATAAATTGACTGTACTTCATTATAAAATGAATGTATACACCCAAGGGAGACAATTTTCTCAAGGAGAGACAATTTTTTTAATCCATGTGACCAATGGATTAGATGCACCAGACTTGCAGTACACAGCCTAGCAGATGTATAAAATTTGTTATTTCCACAGCTATCATACGTATACTTGAATATCTAATACACAGACACCTCAAATATGAGAAAATGAGTACAGAAGAATTCAGTCAATTTAAATATATGATTAAAAAATTTTGTAGATATAATTTTATGTACTGTGCTGTGGTCCGACTGACCTGACTACCATGCATAGTGGGTTGAACTTGAAGGTACTCAAGACAGTAGGTTGAACTAGCCACCTCTGCATTTAGTAAAGTAGAATATATTTTATATTAACAAATATTATTTTTCTAAGTGATACATAAAATTCAGTTGCAAGGGAGAGTAACAAGAGCGAGAAAGTGGCAGAACCAGCATTTGCAGCATGGCTTCAAGTTCCACACTTGTGAGCGCTCTGCTGCTGCCCTCCGACCGGAATAAATTTAACTATTGTTCACAGCACTAGGCTGTCCTGTATGCTCAAATCATTCAGCCCTCTGCTCATTAGACTCAGAATCTGTCTCTCTCAACCTAATTGTCAGCAAATTCCTAATTGAAAATCCTGTGTCCCAGCCCCTGTTCTTGCACAGCAAGTTTTCTGGGATATTGGATTGTGGGAAAAGGCAAACCATCTCTAAATGAGATTCTTGGACCACAACTTTGGTTAGATTGGAGGCTGGTCAGAGACTCCCTCGAAATGCCAAGTTCATCTTGGAGTAATCAGTTAGAATGTGAGGACTGGTAGGAAGAGTTATCTAGTGGTTGGGCTGCAGTTGCTGACTTTGCCACTTTCTAACTGTGTGATCTCTGAGAAGGTAACATTTCCTCCCTTGGCCACAGTCACAAGTAAAGTGTATGGTCCAGTATCCGATATGGATTAAAATGACAGCTTTTGTTCCTCAAAGAGTCTCTGTGCTAACAAGACTGACCTAGGACCAAATTAAGAGTAACCCTAAGTCCTTATCGTAGTCACATGTCTAATAATTTGAGGATGGACTGATACAGAAATCTCTCATTTTTCTTATCAAAAGAAAAATTAAAAAAATTATCCCCTAAAGAATTATAAATCTGTGATATTAATTTTTTGAACAAAAGAATTTACAAGAGAAATATTTACTTTTTAAGCACAAGGGAAACCATGACATAAATCCATGAAATGTACAAGTTTGTTGAAAAATCCTTACTGAGAGCATTTCTCTCTGACATTTTGAATTCATGTTAAATGTATTTTCTATCTATAAACAGGAAGCAGTTGTTTAGCCAGGTTTTTCACAAAATGCTGCAGAAAAAGAAACTGTTTGTT